CCTTCAAATTTCTTCTGGAGCTCGAAACCCAATCCATTCTTTGTGATCCGCACATATTCCATCTTAGGCATCACCAACCTATATCAGTTTCTAACCTTCTTGAATCGTGCAATATATTATTTTGTCGATTTCTCAATTATCTGGTACAACCTGGCCAAATCGGCCATGGCTAGAACTGAGTGTGAAACATGTCCTCAAGTTGTTGCTAGCCCATCATAGAATTGGACGATAAATCAATATATCACCTAAAGGCCTTTCTTGTCAAGGAATTTGCAAACAACTTCAGCTTCAAGAATTCGATAGCCCCAGCCTCACACACTATACGATGAAGTGACCAAAGTGTTCCACAGTCAAATAACCGTCTTCGCAAAAAAATGTGGCAAACACTGGAACCATATACCCTCGAGGATACTCATAGTCTCTGTCCACCCAATTGGGATAAGGTTTTCGGTATGTTGGCTAAACAACCCTCCTCGTAGCAGGGCTGATATGTTCTTGAATGATCTCATCTAGTTAGTCTTTGTTCATGACTACCTGGGTTACCGCTGGAAGAACGATCGGTGGATGCCTCATTTGCCCCCAACCTCGGGATTGTGGACCACTTCCTCATAAAAAAAAAAAAAGGATTGTCGTTTCGCCTGTGGCCATTTGTGGTTTGCTGTCCCCTTTGAAGTGGCACATATAGAGGAAGCACTAGTTGTAGTGCCTCTACTAGAATTGCTTGCATTGAGAAAAATAATGGTTATCTCATGCCCCTTGGGCGGTTCAAATTGTCAGTGAGCCATACTAGTGGTTGTCTGGTGTGGCTAGATTCCTCTCTAATCAAATTCCCCAGGCCTTGGATAAAACTTGAGACTTGCTGAGAAACTTCATGTGATAGAACCTTGATTGAGGCCTTCGGCTTTAAGTTGGATTGACGGTTTTCTTGACCCCCCGGGTGGAGGCAATTCTTCCTCTAAGTTGGGGATTCCATGCCTACTTTCTTCCACAACTTTGTGCATTTGGGGGCATTTTAGATGAGCTAATTTTGGCCTTACCTCGAGTGTTTGCCATGCTATCTTTTTTATGGTCCCACCGGGCGTGCCAAACAATTTGATTAGTATATTTTTGGATTACAAGTGTGCAAAAATTTAGGTGGACTTAAAATTCCAATCCCTACGACCTTACCTATTTGAACCGGCATGAGGTTCTAAATTGTGACTACTCAGGCAAATATAGTGAGGTATAAGGTTACCTCTAGGTTCTTTTCTATGCCTTGGAGCTCAAGGACTTCAAATAATTTCACCAAATAGAAATGTATGAACGACACTGGGAGGTAAACAACGAGAATGCAAATCAGAAAATAAATTAAATTTGAATCTGGAAGATAAAATGGATATTGAACTTATCATTAAATGAAAGTAGTAAAAGATCACCGGAGTGATGATTACTGGAAAAGTAAAATTGCTTGGAAGTAAGAAAAGAGTAAATTGGTAGGCTGGCTCTGTGAAGAGTTTTTACGATTGATCGGGGGATCCTTCTCAGTGGCCCGACCTCTACTATTTATAGAGATGACCCTCAACTGTTGATCTATCTTTTATGACCATCACGTATGATCATATCCTTGTCCCTTGAGATACGTGAATGTGTGTTGAACCATTTTCAATTGGCGGCTAATGATGTAATTTTTCTCATTTTTTGGGATTCTAAAAGTCATTTTTCTAACCGTTCTATCAATTATGGACTCTCACAGACTCCCTTGGGACCGTTAGATCTCTTCCATGTGTCACCCTTTGATCTCGCTATTTTTGGGTTTAAACAACAAAACAAGTTTCTAAAATACAACAATCACAATATATTGGTGGATGAAGAAACTATGACTTTAGTGCACACACATATGGAAAAACGCAGGTGGCAATCCAAATTTTAGTGGGATAATTCCATTTGTGCTTATTCGATCCCCAACTACACATTAACACATAAATCAAAATTCAATCTATGACATTCTAGTGAAGTATATTTTGGCAAAAAATATTCTGACAAAAATACAGTCGAGGTGTGTGACAAACCCACAAATACTAAGATACACTACAATAATTTTTGCAGAGAAGAATGAGCCCTATCTCCAAGCATCTCTAACATCAACTATTCAATCAACGACATTCCGGGTAAATATATTCCAGCAGAACATAATCCAAAGTTTGTGCAATTGATGTATGGAGATATTAGCAGATTTCAAATATTGTGAGTTTCTCTAGATTAGTGAGACACAAAGTTATTAAAAAGGCTGTATCTATTTCAGGTATCAAGGTAAATCTTATCATAATGTCATAATTAGATTTTGTGTTTTATCATGATTTTAGTATAGGAAAGATGAATAATCCTATTAGAATTTGATTTATTTTGATATGCATGAGTCTTAGTGAAAGAATTGGTGTATACAAAGAAAAATGAGTAGACAATTAAGTTGATGATAAAATAGTTATACACGATATGAAATTAGTTCGAACAATCGTATAGAATTATTGAGGGTAAGGGATAGTAAAAAAAATTGAGAATGAAGGTGACAAATGAATGTTAGTGAATAAAGGTAATCTTGAGGACTTTTGATAATTATATTGATGGTACAAGTTAAAGGGATCTATTTAATATTTAGAATACGAAGAATCTATTCTGATATGAGATTTGATGATTAAAGGATGAATAGACATTGAGACATTATGGCCAATTGAAGTTAGATAGACTAAGTCGACAATTAATATTATCTTAAGAGTTCTCCTAAGATAAATAAAATGATGGTACAAATTTTTAATCATTGTTGAAAGATTGATCATAAAGTTTAAGTTTCACACATATTGACTTTCGGGTTAAATATAGTTTTGGAGGTGTTTATATTTGATAAGGGTAACTCGGTACACTTGTAAATATTTTTAGGTCAAAATAATGTTACTATTAAATCCAGAAGGTCGAAAAACCTTGGAATAGGTGATATGGGGTGTAGTAGAAGTTTGGAGGTATTTTGGGGTTAAAATGCATTTTGCAGAGAATTCGAGTAAAAAGGAAGTTGATAATACCTTAATATTTTGGCCATAATTTTTCACTCATATGTCCGATTAATCTGATTCAAGCATTAGAAAGTAAATTTTAAGATCTATAAAAGTGTATTTTATGAACATTTCATGAATCGATTTTGAACTAAGTTAAAATCGAGTTGACAGTCTGGGACGGAAAGCCACCCACGTTCAGATGAGAGTATGATTGTCTGGACGCACCTGTGAAGGTTCTGAAAGTAAGTTTTGACCTTCTAGAGGTGAAGATTACCATTCAGACGCACCTATAAGGTTCTAGGTAGTTAGTTTGAATCGTTTAGACATAATATGCGTTCGGACGCACCTCGAAGGTTAGCCTGATTAGTTTTCAACATTTTTCTCTATTTTTCACCCTATAAATAACCTAGGGACAGGTCTTAGGCTATTTTAGCCATTGTTTCAACTCTAAGAAGCCAAGGGGAGTTGGGGAGAAGAAAAAAGGTAGATATCTTGATAGATTAAGACTTAAGAACCGCATCAAAATGCATTGGGATCATTTATTTGCGAATCAAGGTAAAGTTCTTTCTCAAGCTTATTCATTAAGAAACTAAGTTTATACTATGTATCTTTTCATTTTTTTGTACTTATACGTAGATAATCAATGATTTGGATTTTCAACCAATTGCATGTACCTTTTTTACGAATAAACACATGATTTACATTACAAAATCTCATATTCTCCATTCAAAAATCCTACTTCTTGATTATGGTCAAAGTAAATATATTTTCTTGATGATCTCTTGTATATTTTCTTGAATTTATTATATTTCGATAATTGTGGAACCATGATTCGTGTTATATGTTGATTTTATGAAAAATATGAAACTATCTCTTGTATGAGTGGGTGTAGTGACGTGGATTACACTCGAATTCATATCACAAAAGTGTTAGAGGTTTTTTTAACTCGAGGGGTTTGATGATTTTTTAACTCGAGGGGTTTGATGATGTTGTATCATTCGTAATGGGGTTGGTTCTTGGTGAGGTGTCAAACCACTATTTGTTCACATAGGTTCAAGACTAAAGACTAGTATAATATTTCTGAGAATGATTCGTCAATGTTGATACGTCAGTATACACAATTCCTAAAATATTATGGCTTTGTGGGGATTGATTGGATGGTTATGTTTGTAGTGGGTGGACCAGATAAATTTAGTGTGTAGATTCATACTAGTCAGCTTACATATATGAGATATTATTGTTATGAATTGTTGTTTTTTGAATAATTCCACTCTGGCTATGGTGTTGCTGTTTATTATGTATCATAAACGTGAGATCGTCATAATGTCACATGTTTTATCTCAAAACTGTAGATGTTAGTTTGTAAAATTGAGACCTACCTGTTTTATATTTTAGTCATATCTCTTGAAAGTAATACGAAAAGAATAAGTATATCATTTTTTTTTATCATTTGAAATAATGTATGTCCTTTTTGTTATTTCCTTATATATGCCATATAAAAAACTAGCAATTGATCTGTGCCTGAAAGCATTGTGTAACAAAACCAACAAACTAAATTGACCCCCGAAATTTTGAGCAAAAAAAACAAGAATCATCTAAGAGGATAAAAATTGACAAGATCATGGATTGCTTTGAGTTTGTTGGGCGAATCACACTTGACAACTGATTTAAGTTCTCATTTTAGACAATAAAAAAATTAGTTTTTTCATGTTACACTCTCAATGTATTACAAGTATTACGATGTAGTCCTTCTGTTAGTTTCCGGTGCTTATTCCATAAAAAAAAAAAAACATCTCATTGACATTGATAAAATGAGTAACTGAAGAGTTATAGTGCAACACTTTTAACACATTCAAGATATAATGTGAAAAATTCAATCTTTGAGAGTAGAAACCCGGCCGATTTATTATCCCTGATGTTTGAGTAAAGGATATTTGATTTCTGTACACTTAAATTTTTTCATCGGTAAACGATATGGTTCATAGTTGTGGATGGAATTTTGAATTTTCCGTAAAGATCGTGGTTTTATTTTAGCTTAGTACTACTTTACAACGTTGACATGTAGTTAATGATATCTGCAAGATTAGATTTTGTTGTTTTCGTATGGCATCTTTATCAATCTATCTACTATAATAATTAATAAATTAAATTTTGAATTTCTAAAAATATTTTTCATTTACTTTGATGATCTAATAATACAAAATTCATCCAAAAATATTTTTTTCTGCTTAAAAAATATCATATTCTTTGCACGGCTCCCAGTGTCAATTAACTTAATTAACACACTTCTCAATGTCAAATAAACATAGTAATCCACACATACCTCTCTTTTCTCTTTGATTTTTTCTTTGTTTATTTTAAATTTAAATTACGTAATTAAAGAAAAAAAATGCTACTTAAAATATGAATATTAGACAAGCAACACTTGATTTTTGATATTATAAAATATCTCCAGACAAGAAATTATTGCTAGAGCTGTCATCTTTGTATTTATAATTTGTATTTATATCTTGTGTCGAGACAATGCATTCGGTTTCAACATAAATTTTATAATTATGGATGTAGAAGAAGTGGTGGTAACATGTGATGGTATATTAATAATCGTGATATTAATATTTACTTTTTATTTGACCATCCAAATACACCTTTGATTAAATTATTTTTATTTAAGTGCTTTCTTTTATGAACATCCTTTATATACAAAGTATTTTTCATAAAGTAATTATACAATAATATTTTTTTAATGTCTTAAGTCGTTCCATTTTTCAAACGTCACCTTAATCTCATGACCTATCAATTATAGCTGTTGAATTAAAAATAAATTTTATCTAACTTTAAAACTCATAATTAGTATGACTTAAAACATAGACTGCAAGAGTTGGGATCCATTAATAACTTCTTGTCTAAACTCGCCCACATTAGTTAGCGTCAATTATATATATTTGTAAATTTAGACGTTCTAACTTTGAATTTTGATAATTTTTTAGAATCTGGTTATGAGGGATAAATCCCTTAGTCTCAGTGTATCTGACATATATTTAATTTGACTAAGAAAAAGATCAGTCGATGTGCACATAAATTGATTCAAGTATTTCTAACCGCTGAAAAAAAAATTTATGCACGATTGAATAGATGTGTTGGCTAATATGTCATTAATGGGGAGAGAGAGAGAGAAATATCGGGACCGTGCTACCAGACTATGTTGCCCAAATATATTTACCAAATTTTGTATTTTAAATGGTGTACCAAAATTTTATGCATCGAATGTTTAGTGAAATTAGTAAATTCCACTGATTTAATCACTCATATTGATTTGAAATACAAAAATTTAGTAAATATAGCATTACTTTGGGTACTAATTGCACTTGTTGGTACCTTTTTACTCCAATTTGTTTTTTGTCCATAAGACAAACGACACCTGAACTGTTAGTGGGTCTTTTAATTTATGATGCCTGACTACACAACACCTAATATTTTTTGGCTTTCATTTCAAATTTCAATCAGGTGGGGTCACAAATTTTGAGCACCTTAGGTGACCATCTCAATGGCCCTGCCTTTGGGCCAGCCCTAGATAGTTGTGGTGGTGAACATCGTAATGGTGATTGCAATGGTGGTATTGGTTGTGACAGGGACTACAGTGGTGATGTTGATGGTGATGGTGATGGTGATGGCGATCGCTTGTGGTGGTGGTTGCCATGAACCGATTAATTCTAGGGAGTGACTTCTCAGCCAAGGTTTGAGGTTGTGTTGGGTTTAGAATTTTTGGTCAACTGTTCTACTGGGACTTCAATGGAAATATGTTAAAACAAGGCCCTAAGGTTTAAAAAAGGCGATACAAGTGTAAAATCATGGACTATATCTTACGATGTCTTCAAATATATCTAGAGTATACCAATATATTACCATTTATTGTGGGAGGAAATGCAGTATATAGTTTCTAATCGCAACCTCTCAACCTCTGTATTATCAAGTTTCTCACTTCTCACATAATCTCTTTTACATAGACGCATTTGACCACCTATCTTAACACACACACACACACTCTCTCCCTCTCTCACAAAGAAAAAATAATTTGTTCATTTCAAACATGTATTGTGTGAAACACGACTTGTAGTAAATAAATAAGGGCAAGAGAGAGAGAGTACAATGTACGGGCTTATTCCACTGCGACTATTTATTATTGGAGGAAACGTAGGATATAATTTTTGATCACACCCTCTCTCAACCACTGTATTATCAAATTTTTACTTCTCACAATCNCGGGCTTATTCCACTGCGACTATTTATTATTGGAGGAAACGTAGGATATAATTTTTGATCACACCCTCTCTCAACCACTGTATTATCAAATTTTTACTTCTCACAATCTCTTTTACATAGACACATTTGACCACCTATATTAACACACACTCTCTCTCTCTCTCTTTCACACACAAACAATTTTTACATTTCAAACATGTATTGTGTAACACGACTTGTAGTAGATAAATAAACGAGCNTTTACTTCTCACAATCTCTTTTACATAGACACATTTGACCACCTATATTAACACACACTCTCTCTCTCTCTTTCACACACAAACAATTTTTACATTTCAAACATGTATTGTGTAACACGACCTGTAGTAGATAAATAAACGAGCGAAAGAGAGAGAAAGAGAGTACAATGGACGGGCTCACGCCACTGTAGCTATTGTGAGACCTAGAGAAAGTTAGATACATAGAATGCTATTTTTTTCGTATGGCGTAATTGTTTTTATAACTAGAATTCCTAACACCCAAAACACAATAGAACAACCGTACATTAAATTCAAAATCCAACTGGTGAGGGCCACAATAGAGAATGGTATATGAAATAGATACCTAACCGAATAAACAAAATTTAAGCATACAAGTGTTAGATACATTAAGGACTCGTTTGGTTGCTGTATTAGAAATAGATGGATTAGATATAGTAATACAATCTAATACAATACGGAAGGACAAAAGNCGTACATTAAATTCAAAATCCAACTGGTGAGGGCAACAATAGAGAATGGTATATGAAATAGATACCTAACCGAATAAACAAAATTTAAGCATACAAGTGTTAGATACATTAAGGACTCGTTTGGTTGCCATATTAGAAATAGATGGATTAGATATAGTAATACAATCTAATACAATACGGAAGGACAAAAGACAAGATTAAATAGTGTATTAGAATAATATGTAATTTTATCAAGTGTTTGGTAATACACAATATAAGTGTTGGATAGTAGTTATTTAATTCAAGCAGTTGTTTAGTTAGAGAATTATTTTATCGTATTAACGTTGAATTAACAAAAATATCCTCAATTAGTGTTTGTTACATTGATGACAACTTGATTTTTATCAGTTAAGGGATTATAATAGTAAATGTGTAGAATAATACGTTTGAGTTGGATTATAATACCATATTTTTTGGTGGTATTGAAAAACCTCCATAATACAGAGCTATCGTATAAAAAATATACGATAAGTATACGATCAATATACGTTTTTGAAATTAATACAATATCAAATTTGCTTACCAAACAAAGTATTATGNTGACAACTTGATTTTTATCAGTTAAGGGATTATAATAGTAAATGTGTAGAACAATACGTTTGAGTTGGATTATAATACCATATTTTTTGGTGGTATTGAAAAACCTCCATAATACAGAGCTATCGTATAAAAAATATACGATAAGTATACGATCAATATACATTTTTGAAATTAATACAATATCAAATTTGCTTACCAAACAAAATATTATGCCCGATTAAATAAAAAATAGTACAATCCAATATTTAATCTTCTCATAATACGTCTACCAAACGAGCACTAAGTATATACCCACAGTCACAGAGAGTTTATGCACCCTCCTGGTGCCCTTAATTACTTCACTCAGCATGTCCAAAACCCACTGAACAACAGCTCATAGTTTTGTGCATAAATGGTTGTGAGAATTTAAGTAGATTGTCAATTGGATTTGTGCTTTACAGGTCCCTATTCAATGTAGAAAAACTGCCTCTTCAATTAAACGCTCACAAAAACAGTTGTCTTGAATGTTTAATTATTAGGGACACTAAAGTTGTGCCAAAGTTGAGATAATGGGGTTGCCCAAGTGGTTGAGAAGTTGCATCCTCATAACCAAATTTAGACCTACAGTTTTTGGATAATTGGTTATATAAACACAAACACGATATTAATGTGACACAAACCTAAAATAATATGGCCCGAGTATGACACAATTTGACCCGATTGACACCAAAAACTAGAGGTAAAAGATGTTCTAGTAAAGCTACATCACACCAAAAAATTAAAATGAACATATAAATCCAACTTCAAATTTTTTTTGGCTAGATAAAGTATTCATTCACATTTGCAAAGGTGTACAAGTATGAAGCTCCAAACTGTTATCACACATCAGTAAGATCAAAAAGATCACTAGAAACAGAAGAATTCCAGGGTTTAAGAAAGGCAAGTTTCTGGGGGAGAATTACTGGAGCAAGCAGTGATTAATTTGCTGTTGGACCACTTGTAGAATGGATTAAGCCAACTTTAATTAGTTGCTTCTTAATGATGTTGATGTGAGGCTGTCTTCTTCATTTGCTGAGGTGGATGTGCAATAATAGAGGACCTCTAGATGGAATTGGAATCAATTTCCAGAGTACAGTAGTTTTTCAAATTTTTCTCTCTTTTTACCATACGTTTTTAACATGTTTTGTGACATATCATGGTTTACATGAAACTGTGGATTGAATCCACACTTTCTCACTGCTAGTTATTAAATTACACCATTGACAAAGGTGACAAGTTGGGTACGAGTTCACTTTAAGGTTAATGTCCTTTTAGAGTTACCACAAGAGATTTATCATAATTGCACGTTAGATAAAACAAGGATCAAAATTTTTGGAGATGTTTTGGCAATGATAAAAGATCAAAACGAATAAGTGATAAAAAAAAATAAAAATTTTCATACTTCAAAATCAAAATACCAAATTTTTTCTCAATTTTCATTAGATTTTCGACACATATCCCTTCCAAAGATGACAATGAACCCCTCGTTAGCAACCAACCAAAAAATTCAGTAGTCTAATGTGTCCTTAGTATTAGCAACGAGTTTGATATGTGTCCTTATTCCATTTAATATAAGACAGTTGGGAGAAAAAGCTGCCAACTGATCATTAATTAACATATACCTATCAAGAAATGTGACTGTGAGAGAGAGAGAGAGAGAGAGAGAGAGAGAGAGTTTATAAAATATATCATTCAGAGTCCCATTTGTAAACTAGTTAAAAATCAGATATTATGGCTCATCCAATTCACCAAGCTAATGGAAACAGCCCTTATGGAGACCTTACAAAGGAAGAGTTCTACAAAAAACACCAAGTACTCCACCAAGAAAGCTTCATGTTAAACAAACAGAACATGAACATTTTCACTCAGTCCTGGTGCCCCAATGCCACCACCCCTCAGCTAAGAGGCCTTGTAGCCATGGTCCATGGCTACAGCTCAGAGAGCAGCTGGCTCTTTGAGCTAACTGCGATCGCCCTAGCAAAAGCTGGGTTCTATGTTTGTGCTCTTGACCTCCAAGGCCATGGCTACTCCGATGGTCTACGCGCTCACATCCCAGATATTAAGCCTGTAGTTCGCGATTGCATCCAATTCTTTGATTCAACACGAGCCAACCACCCGAAACTCCCAGCTTTCTTATATGGTGAGTCTCTTGGTGGTGCAATTGGAATGCTAATATGCCTAGAGCAAAGAACTGAGTGGAATGGTTTGATACTAAGTGGAGCTATGTGTGGAGTTTCAAAGAAGATGAGACCAGTGTGGCCTATTGAGAAGCTACTTCCTGTGGCAGCCTTTATCGCGCCCCGTTGGAAGATTTGGATCACAAAACCTCCTTCTAAAATAGCATATAAGGAGGATTGGAAGAGAAAGTTGCATGTAAAGAGTCCAAAGAGCTTGGCAAATATGAAGCCAAGGGCAGCCACTGCACTGGAGTTTCTGAGAGTTTGTGAATATATAGAGAGGAATTGCCATGAACTTGAGGTTCCAATGCTAATATTGCATGGTGGGGCTGATAAGGTTTGTGATTCTGAATCTGCTAAGTTTGTTTATGAATCAGTAGCAAGTAAGGACAAGAGCTTGAAGATTGTTGAAGGCATGTGGCATCAGATGATTGGTGAACCAAATGAAAGTGTGCAGAGAGTGTTTGAGGTGATACTGTCATGGATTGGCGAGAGAGCTGACAAAAACTAAAACCAGCTGGGATGTGTTTTGAGTTGTTAAATGATATGTGCAAAATCTAATGTATATTCCTATGAATTTGGCATTGGATATGAATAGTTTGGTGCTGGTTGTAAGGATGAAAATGTCACTTGGTTTCCACCTAAACGATCATAATGCTTTGATTTCTACGAAAACTGAAATGAATAGTGATTGACTATAAAAAATCTCTAAATTATCAGGTATTTTGATGTGTTTTGACATCTTTCGGTATGTTTTAGTCAATGTATGTCTATCTCTTTTTTTCTATTGCCATTCTTTCAGAAATAAAATTTCTGATATACTTCTAAACCATTTTTCTTTTTTTGACCTGACATGAATTACTCACTGAAATGGACTTTAGATCTTTTGTCGGCAGAGAACACAGTTAGGGGTTTTACACCATTTAAAGAAATAT